TCACTTCCCACCTTCCCTCATGCATTAAATGCTACTTTGTGGCCAATGGGTTTTGCTGCATTAAACAGGCACTACTTCATTTAATGCCTTGGCCGCAAATTTGTTCGGCCTCGGCCTCTGTTGAAATAAAAAAAATCGGCAAATAAATCTTATCATTTATTTCAAATAAAAAACTAATCATAAGGGATAAATGCAAGCCAAGATAAGTTCCCCAAATTTTGGGATATCTGTTATGTTTCAAATTGGGGAGGCTAAATCTGATCAACACTTATCTGTAATTCAAAAGTGTTGTTGGCTTAAAGGAGTCTTATCTAGTTGGCCTATAAAAAGGCAACAACAGAAAAAGGAAAAAAGAAAGAGGAGCCAACGACAGATAAAAAAAAGGAGACTGCAGGAGAACTGAGAGCAGAAGAAAAGTTCTACAGGTAGTCGATCATCTTGATTTTCCTTTCCTATGTTGGGCATAGCATGCCACAAATCGATGGGTTAGAAACCCAAAAAAATTATATGGATGCAAATCCATGGGTGAGCAACCCCGAAAATATTTGGATGCAAATCCATGGGTGAGTAACCCCGAAATCATTTGGATGTAAAAATCCATATGGGTGAGTAACCCCGACAATATTTGGATGTAAAAATCCATGTGGGTGAGAAACCCAGAACCTCTGCAGATAAAAAAATATGGAAAATTGATTCACCGATGCAAGTTAAAAAAAATGGCTATACCTCTGCTTTGGTGAATCTGTTCAACTTTCTCCCTCTCTGTCCAAAGGCACACTAATTTCTGGGTCTGGGCTGCTCTGAAACAGAAAAGAAAAGAATCAGTTGTCTGCATACAGTCAAAACAAAAAAAAGAGAAAAGAAAGAAAAGTGGCTGTACGCCACTTTGTGTTTCTGGAAAAAAATAATAGATGAAACAGCCAAGCTTTTCTCTTGGAGGAAGTTGTTGCAGACATCATGTGGTTTTTCTTTGTGTGGGCTTGGTGTGGCAGACTCAGTGTTGCAGGCGACGCCAACAAACAAAAAAACAGCAATCGAAAGAAAGAAAAGAAGAAAGGCCAACAAGGAAATAAAAAGAAACAAAAGAAAGAGGTGGCGTAGCTACTGTTTGAATCTGCATGCCGTAAAAAAAAAAAGAAGGAAGTCAGCCATGATTTGAAGGCATGACTTGGTGCTGCAATACAGCGGCAACAGACAAGAAAAAAAAAAGGAAAAAGAGGTCTACCAAAAAAAAAGAGAGAAAAGTAAAAGAAAAAAAGAGAAAGTGGGGCCAGCCACTTTGTTGGG